TTCCGATCAGAGGATGAAAAAAAACAAGACGGAAAAATCTAGCGGAAAAATAAAATTATATTTTTGAAGTAATTTATACAAGAAGCATAATTCCAATTATACACAAATTATTTACTACATTTCACTTTAAGTCTATAAATAATGTTAAATTCTGGGATGAATTTTAATTTCTTCTGAAAATTTACCAATGTATATTGAGCTTCAAGCAACAAGCATAGAAAAGGAAGAGTTTGTCTCCACAAGCTTTGGAGGCTCAGCATGCTCAAAAAATTTCCCTGAAAATAGAAACACCCCTTAAATATTTCAAAACTTGCAGCTCAACCCTCCCCTTATTTTCACTTTTTTCCAAGCCCAATCTGAATCCAATGGAAGTTTCAGAGTCTCCCTAAAAGATTCAGCTATGACACCCTCACCCTGCAATGAAAGCCCAACTCTCTTCAGTATTACTCAAAAGCCCAAATCTTTTCAGTATTTCTCGAAAATCCCAACTCGGCCCCCATCTTTAGGAAGTTGCAAGCCCAAAAGGAAAAGAAAAGAAAATGTTAAGTCCTAGAGACTTGAATGCTTGAAAACTGCCAGCAATTTGCTCAATTAAAACACATGGACCATTTTCTAAAATAAATAAATAAATACTGGACAAATCAATCTCCCCCCATGTGCTCATGTGCATATCAGCACACAAGAAACACCTGTAAAATTGAGAAAAAATAAAAAAAAACGGTCTGTCCTCCTATGGATTCTACATTAGGGACACCTGTTTCTGCCTTTTTTGTGGTTTTCTGAACATGGTACAAATATACAATTATAGCAACAAGACAATAGTTTCTAAACTTTAAGTGTTCACTGGAGAGACAGCGTCATTTCACAACGTAGGTCTAAAAGACATGCGCATATCTGTAAGTCATTTTGAACCTGTCAATTGGTTATAACTTTTGCCTGGAATCAACACATCCATGAAGATTGAAGCAGTGAGGCAGCTGTATTTATATGTAACAAAAATTATGTCTGATGAAGTACTACCAAGGTGACCCACTCTCCCAAGCTGCAAATGCCTGTCGTTTTGTTTGAGGGGAACAACTCTGAATTGGCCCACGCAATGAGAGCGCTTGCATTGCATTATTGAACTTTTGAGACACAAACACAGCTAATTTTCTTTGGATTTTGTCCCTTTTCTTAGAAAGAATGTTCACTGGGTCGATAGGTTGTTGCTTGTAATGCTGCCCATTGATTTAAGGTGGTTTATAGCCCCCATATTAATTAAACCACTTCTTTTGCTGTTCAGTTATAGATGGTATCCTACCCCTACCAAGGCTATAGAATTTGGAACTCTTCAAAACAATCTTTATTAAACGTCCTATGTTCCTTTTCATTTGTTTTAATGCCTTTAATTTGAAATCTGAATCTTTTTCTATCTCAAAGATATAACTTAACTTCATAAATGGCATTTAAAGCAAAATTCAATCACCACAATTGTCTCCTCTCTAGGTTGTAAAACCCTTTTTACTTTCAAAATTCAAATCCATAGTTTCAAATTAATAACAAATAGCAACCGTTCTTGAAAACATCATATGACAATACATATGCCATTGATTTGGCTCAAGTGAAAAGGGTAAATCTATATACATTTACCCATTTAATGTTATGTAATTATTGTTAACAAATATAATAAATAATACGAACCTGACCCGAAGGGTCAAGTGGCTCTAATCACGCTTGTAAGGTTCATATCTTCCTCCCCACGCAATGGTTCGAGCCGGCCCCATGACAAAATGTTCCAAAAAAAAATATGATTAATAATACATTAAATGTCATTTGACATAACTATTTGGCTTACTGAGTTTGAACTATGAAATTAAAACGTAAAACTTGTCATTATATGTTAATGTCATGGTTTTTCATTTCTTAGAATAAATTATTTTTTCTTTACATTAAATGTTAGTTGTTTTTCTTTTTTAAAATTTTGGCAATGGACGGATTCGAAACCCATCTAGAGGGAATGTATCGACAAACTGGCAAATGTCAGTGAGCTTCTAGGGTCAAGTGCCATTAAATGTTAGTTGTTTGATGTTATAAAAATTTAAATTCTTGAAATTAACTTTAAACTAAAATTTTTTATATTAATGAGTATCAAAATCAATCAAATTCTTGTTGGTTAGAATAAACTGTTAATTTACTTATGGTTATTTATCAATAAATTCTCTAATTTGACCCATTTAATCATGAATTGGACATGTAGGTTCACAGGCCAACAGCTGTCATTCGATGGAAAGTGATGCTCGGGGACGAGTTTCTGTGTTTATCCCGTTTACTTAATACTATTTTTTCAGTTAATAAATAAATGATTAATCTATTTTATATTTCAAGAGTACAATATACAATGTATTAATTATATAATAATAATTATTTTTATCTTAAAAACAATAAAGTTAGTTTTTTATTTTAATTATAAATATCATGCATTAAATTTTAATTAGTTAATTTTAAATTAAAAATCAAAAGTTATTTTCTTAATATAAAATTTTACTTTAATAAAATTGTTATTATTATTTAATAATAACTTTTCATCATGTGCTTTTAAAAAATAGGATAGACAAACTCATAAATAAACTCTATAGTTGAGGGTGACAATTACTTTTTTAGTATCCATTTAGTGTAACAATAACTTTTAATAAAAATTATGTTAAAAAAAAATTGTTATAGATATGTTACTTTTATAAATAGAGAAAAAAATAAAGATAAATTATGAATAATATATTAATTTTATTAAAAACCAAATAAAAACCTCTTGCAATACTTTTGAAATTTACAATGAAATTAATAAAAAATTAATTTATAAGAAGTTATAGCAACTTTTACAAGTTATAATATTTGATGCAATTAAAATGTTTAGAATTCAAAATAATTTCCCAACAGTTATACCAAACATGCATTTAATCTTGTTCTCGATCAAGTATGATCTTTTAAGATGGAGTCATGTTAGCTAGCTGTAGCAGATAAAAGCAAAGTCGTAAGAGAATATATGGAGAAATTACGAAATTCAAAATGTTTTTTTTTTTTTTATAAAATGTGAAATTTATTATTTATAAACTAATTGTACAGTAAACAATAAATTAGCTTATACAAAGATTACACTCTCCCAAAAATCAAAACAAACTAGCAAAGACTGCACCGAATGTTTTATATTAAATAAGATTGCATTCAAACTAATGGTTAGTTAAAACTACGAACTGTTAAATTCAAATATATCTATATTAAACTCGTTAATTTATAATAAACATTTAACAATAAGATTGAGATTTAAATTCAGTCGCAATAAAAGGTGGCACGAAATACTTGAATTTGAATCCACATTGCCATATGGATTCCCCCCCTTCCCTTTTTTTATTCCTTCTACCAACATTAGAAAGTTTCTCTGAATGTAAGAAAGATTTTCTCATCATTGAAACCTGTATTTAACTAGTAGTGTGCTCATCATGCTAATTTAAGTATTTGTTCATTCAAAAAAGTATAAAGTAGGGACTACTTAAAGTTACAATATAATGTTTTCCTTTAATTCAAAATTAACTACACCCTTTTAATTATCTGCTTATACCTTTATTGTTCTCTGAAAATGAGACTCAAAAAGATTTGTTTTCTCGGTAAAAAGGGATCCACGTCCACCATTTATAATGAACGAAAGCTTTTACAGTTAAAATTTTCTTAAATAACGAATTACTTAAATACAATAAATATATTTATCATTAAACACAAAATTACTACATTTACGCAATTATATTAACATGAATTTTG